TATTTTAAAATAAATCATAAATATGGGCGAACTTTATTTGGAATAAACCTAAATATTGAAATGGGAAAGGAGAAATCAAATAAAAGTTTAATAAAAAAAGAACTATTAATAAATATATATGTAATTTAATTAACATTGAGGAGTTAAAATTTTGAGAGCTAACTTTTTAAAAACTACTCGTGCGATTTTTACAAAACTGGCAGTTTGGCATAATTTGGATCATAGAATCGAAATATGGAAAAAAATTGGCATGTCATTTCAGAAAAAGTCGTATTTTGTGTCAGAATATCTAGATTAGAACAATGCTATAGATAAATCTAATACATATCGTAAATCGCGCTTTCGAGACATGAAAAACGCAAGTTGAATTTCATCATTCGGCCCAGTAGAACGGGAGATCTAGAACTGTCTCACTTTTTTTTGGGGGGGGGGAGCAGTGTATATATACTTCATATACTTTACATGCATCAATACAATATATATATATTAATTAGTTCTAGCTGGACCATGTGCCTAATTTCCCCCATCAATATTAAATTAAATTACCCCTTAAACTTTAGCATCTACTTCTGTTATTGATGAACCAAATGACCACAAATTTAAATCAAATAGTTTAAAAAGTAAAGAAGACATTAAGTTACGATTTATTAAGGATTATTCCCACACTAAACAATTATTAGATGGTGCTGAAAACATAAATCCCAAACTCAAATAGTTTTCTTCGCATTTGGACGACTTGGCAGTTCAATGTCACGGTGACCTCCGGATTGACAACAAGTCTCGGAAAACCCATAAATCTCACTATTAAAACTCGATATAAATGACCAAAACGCCCCTTCAATCGTCGAGTTCTACTGTTGGAATACATTACGTCAACCCATCTCCTTGGTTACTAAACCGGAACAAACGACACAGGGCAAAATTCTTCCACTGCCAGCTTTTCTGTTCAAGTTTCCCACAGTAACAGTAAATCTCCTTTTCTGCCTAGCAGCTGCGATTGCCTACCCCCCTAGCACCACATTCTCTCTCACCTAGTTACCTTTCTCCCCCACCACCCGTTATTTTTTATTCAATCGCCTTAAAATTCAACCTATTTTTTGAGTTGCTGATTTAAATGCTAATTTGTTTGCTTATTATTTTTAATACCCAATCCGTCAGCACGAAGTTGAACCAAACTTGGTCGAGTGACGGCAGTGCTCCAACAAAAGTACCTCTTATTTTTTTTATTACATTAAGTAATAAAAAAAAGGTGAACAAACAGAAGGGCGATAACATTCTTAGATCTTATTGGCTGGAAATTTATATTCCTCTTCCCTCTCATGTGGTTTGCTTTTTGGCAGAAAAAAGTTGAATTCTTCGCCTTCGGCATCTTTTGCGGTACATTGCCGGCATTGTTATTATCACCTTTGCTTCTGCCAAATGAGCCCACTCTCTGAATCGGGTTAAATTATTGATGGTGACTTCGGTATTATTTGCGACAAAAAGCAATTTATCCATTGTTTCATGCAACCGTAAATGTTCACGTTTCCTTATTTCGTGCCTGGGACAATCACCTTTTTTCTTCCTAAAAAAACGGTTTTCATAAAAAATTTCGCGTGAAAAACTTTTTTACATTTAAAAAAAATTGCAAAAGGAAGAAAGAAAAATTTTGTATTACAATAGAATTTTAAATATCCTAGATTAAAGGGGCCTAATGCATATTCGAATAGAAATACTAGATAATTAAAATACATTTTTATATAGGCTAAACGTAACGTAATACATAAGAGAAAATTTTGCTTGCTCATCTGTCTCATAGCGTATAAGTGAATATGATTTATTTATTCGAAAGAAAATATTTTATTTCCGTAGTACAAAATAAAATTCGATAAAATTAAGCACCAAAATAACTCTTTATTTGAATAAACTCACAGCCCATTTCTATCTCAATAAAAGTAATAAAATAATTTCCGACCTGCGTTCGATTCCAGGCGAACGGGCTGGGTGCATGATCGTTTTCGCGATTTCCCCCTCTGTGTAATCTAATGTATATAAGAGCCAGTCCACGAAGGCATCCCTCCCCTTAGGCAGATTAGTGTACTTCGTTGAATAAATTATAACCAAACCATTAATATTTATTAACAAAACGATTATTTGAATAAACCAAACCAAACGTTAGGATTTAATTTGTTTTTATGTAGGCTACAAAAATTGTTTTATTTCTACTAGGCATAATATTATTTTTATTTGTATTGTAGTAAAACTGACCACAGCAATCGAGTTTTAAAGATTGTCAAACACTCGATCGGGATTCGAATTCCATTGACAGAGCTTGGCTATGTATGCATGTTTTAATGGTTTTTCTTACATATATCACATAAATACGAGTCGAAAACAAGCTCCACTAGTAAAGCGGTTAAAGCCAGTTGAATACGGGTAGTTTGTCCGAGGTCCGAACTCAGGCGAATGGGTTGGCTTTCGTGGTTTTATATGTAATGTGCAGACGATTTAGTTTTGTTTAAAAATGCTTTCACGAAAGACATTCTTTCCCTTAGGCAGATAGCCGTTTTGTCCTTTGCCATATACAATCAATCAACTACCCCAATCAACCCTCCATGAAACAGCTCTTCCCTCAGGCAGATAGCCCCAATGTAACTGACCGAAATTAAGCCGCGAACTCCTTAACTTTGCTTTTGTCTTCCCCACTATTCTAAGAACTTGAATTGCGATGAACATGGATAGAACAAATCATTTATCCTTATGAATGAGACATTTAGTTGAGATAGTTGATAAATAGCCCCTTTTTTCCCATATATTTTGAAAACTGTGCATGTAAAACATTAAACGAAAATTTGGCATATGCTAAAATAAAAATGAATTATATAAACGCTCATGTTATACTTTTAAAATATTTATAAGAACCATGAACCCGAACTTATTAATGCTATCCAGGGATTCAAAAACTTCCTACAAAAGCTTTTAAGTCAAAGCTTTCAGCTGCTAATGCCGATATATATATATAAGGTAAATAGGTTCATGCGAAGCTGAAAATTATATCCTTAGATAAAGAGACTGCAAACCAAGAGGATGAATGTGATGATCTGGAAGACTTGGACTTAGATCAGGATTTACTAAATCTTTTTAATTCAGATAGTAAAGAATCAGATTTTGATGGCTTCACGTGATGTACAGTTTGCTGTAATTCCTTTTGTAAGTAAAATTTAAAATTTCCTTTAGTTATCCAAATTTAATATTTCGTTGTTGCAACATTTTTTATAATATAGTCTGAGTATTACTAATATGGACTTCTTTGGTGGGTATATTCGTGAATGTAAATTTATTTTCAACATTTCTTACCTTTAATTTATTTTTGAGTTATGGTTTCATTTCATGCATTTTTCTTAACTGATATGTCATATATCAGGACACAGGTTGAGATTTTGCATCTATACGGCCCACGACGATGTCATGCGCAATTTAATCTATTGCGGCATTTACGCGAATGTGGCATTTCTGTGTAGTTTTAATTTTTTTCCCGCCATTTTTCTCGAGTGCAGCGTTTACGCTGATGTGGCCTTTCTTCCGGAAATTACGGTACTTCTTTTGCTGCATGTAGATGCATCATGCATTTCTAAAAGCGAGTTCCAATTTTTTGTTTGGACTGTTTGCTAAAACATTATATATGTTTTAAAAATTAAAATCCATGAGAAATGCACATATTATGTGAGAAGTCAAAACCTTCAAATTGAACTTACTCTCCATATTTTACATGAATACACCCCTTACATTAAAATTACTAGCTATATTCAGCTTAATAAGCTTTCCATTTATAAGACAAATCGATTGTTTGAAGCCTGCCCATGTTTTTTAATGCATGTTATACAATTATTTTTTTTTTCATGATTACAGGTATTGCAAGATTATTTTTCATTTATGATTAGTTCATGTTATTTATAAAGGGAACTGCAAGAGCATCAGAATTAATTATTTTTAAATGTATCATTAGATTTTGGTGTAGTAAATTGTAGTAGATTTTGGTGATAATTGTGACAAAGTCATACATAAGGGAGACATATTCAATATGAAAGAGTCATATATAATATGCTTGAATAGCTAGCTAAAGTTAAAAAGTTTCATTATAAATTTTTCATAATTTATTTACAAGATACACAACAACTACTGAAGATCCTCAGTTCTTGAAATATCTGACACATTTTAATTAAAGTAGTTCTTGTATTAAACATACAGATGTTACTCTGTGGATTGTAATTTTAAAAATTTACATTTATTTGAATTCATATAACTAACTTCAAGATTTTTATTAAAATTTATATTTATTTAAATTCAGATCACTAATTTCAAGACTTATTTTAAATTAATTAATTTTAATGACCCATGATTCTCTGGCAGCCTCTCACCCATGATTCTCTGGCTATTGAATGTTTCACTAAGTAATTCCCTTCAAAAGAATCAACAATGGCATAGAAATCCCCTTCCCAAGATTAACTCATGAAATATGCTTGAGTGACATTTGTGATAACGCAAACACTAGCAGTAACCTTCTTAATCAGAATTTGAACCACTTAAGACTTCATATGACTGTGGCTTTATTATTAATTTACTTTATTTTCCAGATAAGGGCTGGTTTTATTTTCCTCTTTTGGGTATTAAATTTGAAGGCACATGTAAAAGATATTTAGAGAAAATTTTAGAATCTGTTAGTTTGAAAAGGCAAACTTATTTAAAAAGCAGCAACACGCCAAGAATTGCACAGGAGTTTGGATAAAATTTCTTCATTCTTTCAGAGACTGAGTTATCTCCAAAAGATTGTAATAAACTGGTTTACTGGATTTTCCTTCTGGGATAACTTCAAATGTTGTACTTAAAAAAAAAAAAAAAAAAAAAAAAAAAGCACCATCAGTGAATAAATCTCAATTGCTGATGAGAACATGCATTGAAGGCAGCGTGTTCGTGATGGAACCTTTCAGCACTTTTTGTGAAGTCACCAACATTTTCATGCATTTTTTTTTTTTTTTTTTTTTTTTTTTTTGCAATAAGTCACATGCTATGCTTTTAGCAAAGCATATTGCAAATTATAACCGATTCTTTGAATGATTACCTACTGAAACATACTGCATTTTCCTTCATTTGGGGGTGGAGATGTGTTAAAATGATACAAATATTTTACCTGAAGAGCTCTTTTTCTTTCTTTCCTCTTTTCTATCTTGCTTGACTTTACTGAGTGGTTCTTTCTTAGGTGCTGAACTTTTAATTTGTTGCGTAGGAGAAAATAACTGAGGCTTTTTTATTATATCCTTAAAAAGAAATGGGAAACTAAATGAGTATATACACATTTTTGAGTACATACAACATGAGTATACACAGCTTTGGAAGTAACAACCCCCGAGTGGCTTAGCTGCTTTTACACATTATACTCACTCACATATGTTACTTGATTTCTAATGTACAAGGGATAGAACTTTAACAGTGGCAATTATCCATATACAACTGATACAAAAAAGGTTATGTCTATGAAATTTTTACTAACCTTTTTGTAGTCACTAGTGTATGTGTACAATCCTTTGACAGAGATCTGAAACTCATATCATTCCCGCTATCAGTGCCTAATCTGTTGATGGCTTACATGGTACAGTCTACTGACTGGAGAATTCCTACAGAAGTTCCAATATGGGTAACCTAAAATGGTTCCTTCATCTTGAGAATCAAAGCAGATCATCTTGGGATCAGTCACAGAGATACAAGTCAGAGAAGCATGACGAATGGTAGAATACTTACATGCCCCCTCGGGTGAACAAACCAGTCATGGTTTCTACTCCACGGAGCCATGCATTTTTCAGCAAAATGATGGAAAGATTCTGCAGAAAGTATCACTTCTTTCACAATGTTGTTGCACATTAGGTTCCAGAAATGAACAATAATACTACACACTGATAGGCTCTTCCTGGAGAATGATTAGGATAATGCCATTGAAATCATGCATAAGAAACATCATAATCTTCACACTGCTCAGGTTCTGATCAATATTTGATTTTCATGGAGATTCTCAATGATGCCATGATGGTATTTAAGTTTTGGCTCTTATATGACCTTCCTGACAGCTTTTCCAATATTAGAAAGCCTCTCCTTCAAGCTTACAATACTCCAAGTGAGTTTTGAGCAGTGTATCATGATACTTTGCATTTTCAATAAACAGTAGAAAACCATGAAGATGCAATTTTTCTTAGGTCCAGGGACCACACCAGGAGCCAAGTGGTTAAACTCACTGAATACAATGTCTTACCATTCACCAAGGTTCATTTCTGGAACCTTGGTGAATGGGCTGGTATATGGTTGATTTTTATGGTTTTCTCCAAATGTAACATGGATAGATTCCCTTACAAAGTCTTCCACAAGGGCATCCCTTCTCTTATACAGAAGATGCTTTACCATATTCAAATTTCAAATAACCTTCTTATACTCAGGTTATCCCTGCAGATTACAACTCTACATAATAAGTCTCTCAAGCTAACTCCTGAATTATCCAACAGTGATCTGTGATCAGCAGTGATCCAATACCACGTATTTCCTTTTCACTAACATTATGGCAATCTACCTGGAATAAGTTTTCACATGATGTCGTTCATTCCAGATTCCCACATGCTTCTGATGATAGAATTTGATGATACTGTCAGCAGTGCACCCAGTAAATCTTCATACAGTGCGATAGTTTCTGTTTCCTTAACATAGTGATTACACTCTTGAGACTCCATTCTTTCATTACTGAGCAAGCAGGTAGCATTGAATGAGAAAAGTCCATTTACAGTAAATCAGACTATGCAGGAACAAACATGTGGTATAAGCAAAAAGCACTATTTCCATTTCACAATGTATATACAGCACTGCTGGCACTATTAAAATTTTAACTCATACATTTCAATCACTTTGTTATTTTAGAAATCTGGAATTTACTATTATGATCTGAAAACTACTATTGTATTAAACAAGGTGGTAAATGTTATGTGAATGTAATATTTTATGTGTCAAAGAAGAGCTGACTCAGAGAGTAAAAACTAATAATAGAAATCATGCATTAAAATTAATCATTCTAATCAATCACTTTCTTTAATAAATGAAGCCTTATTTCTGAAGTCCGCCTCCCATTTTGTTAGAGTCATCATAATTTAATGCAATTCATACATTTTCAAATATTTATTAATTTCAAATGTAGGCATTAGGCTGCATGGCTCAAAAACTCAAATATGCAAATTCTAATAAAAGTATATTAAATATCTTTTATAGAATATTTTGAAATTAAATACTTAAGTTAACTATTATGGCTTAACCCTCTGGCTGATCATCCCACAATTTCCACAAAATTTGCTCATCCCGCGGGCATATGTTTTTCTTCTTTTATTGAGGAGCGCATCCCGTTTTTTCCCCGTTTAACCATTGAAATAAATGATATATAGTATTAGGTGTTTAGTTTACACTTTGGCCAACAGATATTGTTAGTTGTCCACTAAATTGCGGCATTTGAAGGCACGTGGTATTAGTGCTCAAACTTCACTTTTTGCCGCTTTTTTCTTATAGAAATGGCTGCTAGAAAACGTTCAGCGATTATCTTGAATATTTAATTAAATTATTGAATTATTAATTAGATTTATTGAATCTTGTGCAAAGACTGTGAAGTTGGACTTTGCCTTGAACCCTGTTTTGAACTCTATCATACTAAACTGCATTTCTAAGGTATTTTTCCCTTAGCACTTATATTTTCTTAAATTTAACATTTACTTTTTTTTAATTATGCAATAAATAGAAATTAAATTGTAATTCAACTGAAATTATTTAAAAAAAATTTTAAGTTAACATCTAAAATTCAAAGACATCTTCTTTAAAGTTAAATGTGACTTCCTGATATTTTTCTGCTTTCTTGCTTTTTTTTTCTTCTTTTCAGTGTAAAAATAAATCTCAGGAAGTTCACTACACAGATATGTTAATGTAATAATTAATAATTAAAAAAACATTAATATAATTAATACCAAATTTCATCACCTGCAAGCAACTCCGATTTTAATAGTTTAAACACACTAACATTATAAAATACTGTATTTACTCTAAAATAAGACCCACTTGAATAAAACACTCTCCTTACAGTTTAGGATAAATTTTAGAAAATAAAAATGCAAGTGAATACTTGATGAAAGCATAGTTCTGATTAGAGTACATTCATTTTGCATTAAAATAAAAGGCAAGCTACCTAATCAAATATGGTATTTACTATGGTATAAAAAGGAAAAATCATGTTGCATTATTACTTCAGATATTTGTTTTCAGCCATACCAAGAACCAGTATAGTGAATGCAGGACTAAACTGAAATTGCTCAACGCTGCTATTACAATTAACAATAACTATGCAGTTTACAGTAATTTAATTGTATGGCTTATTTAGCATTTAAACAAAGACCCTGCCAAATTTTATAATAAAAATGCAACTAAAAATAGGGAGGTCTTATATTCAAGTACAGCATTAACAATCTCGCCAATCATCCCGTGATTTCCACGGGCAACTCAAATGTAGCAAAATTTGCTTATCCTGTGATTTCCGCTGGCATATGTTTTTCTTCCTTTATTGAAGAGCGCATTTTTTTCCCCGTTTAAACATCAAAATAAATTATATACAGTATTAGGCCTTTAGTTTATGTTTTGGCCAACAGATATTGTTAGTTGTTCACTAAATTGGAGGCACATGGTATTAGCACTCAAATTTCACTTTTTGTCGCTTCTTTCTTACAGAAATGGCTGCTAGAAAACATTCAGTGATTATCTTGATTATTTAATTAAATTATTGAATTATTAATTAGATTAATAATTTAGATTGATTTAATTAGTTTATTGGATCGGTGCCAAACTGTGAAGTTGGACTTTGCCTTGAACACTGTTTTGAACTCTATCATACTAAACTGCATTTCTAAGGTTTTTTCCCACAGCACTTTATATTTTCTTAAATTTTTAATATTTTACTTTTTTATATTATTGCAATAAATAGAAATTAAATTGTAATTTGACTGAAATTTATTTAAAAAAAAAAGAAAAAAAAGATTGTTTTTTTTTTTTTTTTTTTTTTTTTTTTTTTTTTGGTGATACATCTGAAATTGGATTTCCTGGAAACTTAGTTTCTCATGATAAAAAACTATATAAAAGTATTTTCTAGAAAGAAAAAGTGAATTTTTTCAATTCTCCCAATATATATAGATTTAAAATATTATAAAAAAATAGGAAGCGATTTTGGTCCACAAATTGTGCAGTCAGAGGGTTAATTTAAAAGTCATTGAGAAAATCAAAACACATGATATAACATTTCAAAACTTACTTCTTGAGCTTTACTTGGCATTAATGCAGCAAATGTAGCCTCAGCCTTTTTAATAAAATCATCACTAACTACAATAGTATCACAATAGACATGAACAATGCCTTGCTTAGACATTGACTTTGTAACTGCACTTATCATCCCATGGCAGTCTTCAGTAGTGAATCCAGATGGCAGTATTACCTAGTAAATTAGGCGAAGAAAAAATAATACAGTTCAGTGTCAGATATGCATGTAAATCGCATATCCTTTACACACATTTTCATAAGCACACATAAAAAACACAATACAGTCAATGTAATAAGAGTTTTAACTGACACATTAAACAACTGACTTCATTTACTTCAGTTATATTTTCTAATAATCAGTTACACAAGCACATATAGTATGTAAAAAAATACAATATATGTAAAAAAATATTCAGTAACTCTGAGTTAACATTATATTCATGTTGTCATGTTGTTTAACAACTGATGGTTGAAAGAGTTACAGCTGCCAACCTCAAAATATGTAAAACTGGGTGTTTTCTTTCACACTACGAAGAGGTGCCAAGTAAAAATAACTCTAAATTGATTTAAATTCTTTCTACAATGCATGATTCAGATTACTGAATTATTTATAATATCATCATGACGTAAAATATATTAATATTTAAGTAGATATTCTAAATTTTATGTTCTTTGGCTAGTTCAATTAATAATTTTCTTGCACCTTTATATTGAGAAGATCCTGAGTAGGGAAGATGGCTTTTATTTATCAAAGCTTTTTTAATCTGATAAAAATAAAATGAATAGTTAGTGTACAGTGCGCAAAAAAGGGGGGGGGACTGTTCTATATCTTATTCACATTCTATATCTCAGTCATTGAGAAAATCAAAACACATGATATAACATTTCAAAAACTTACTTCTTGAGCTTTACTTGGCATCAATGCATCAAATTTAGCCTCAGCCTTTTTAATAAAATCGTAACTAACTACAATAGTATCACAACAGACATGAACAACATGTTCTATTGGGCCGATTGATGAAATTCAACTTGCGATTTTCATGTCTCAAAAGCGCGACTTAGGATATGTATTAGATTTATATATAGCATTATTCTAATATAGGTATTTTTACACATTCAGAAATATGAAATTTTTAAATGGATATTATGTTTTAATAGTTCTATTTTATTTATAGTTAATATAATTGATTAAAAGGAAAAATTAAAGTAATCAAACATAACTAAAAGTAAATATAATTTTTATTTTGCGATTTTCTTCTGAATTCAAAATGAAAATAACTCAGGAAATGATCATATAGAATGTAGAAAGAACCATGAGAATGCTTTTTTTTAATGGTGTGGTGTCACATAAAAAAAATGTGGTTTATCTACTGGTTATATGATTAAAGCCAAAAAAGCACATGAAGGGTATCTGCCATAGGGCTTTCGAAGTCAAACTGGCTCGTATTCATGAAACACAAAATTTACAGGAACATGCAATAATTCCTTAATTATTTCAATAAAATATCAAAATAATTATTACAGTACAAAGTCTTTAATTCGGAATGATCTATAATCCGGACCTCAAAGCTACAAACTTTCTGCGCATGCGTAAACGTTATGCATACGCATAATACATTTACGCATGTGCGTTTAATGTATAACAGATGATATAAGCTAGGCTAAAATTATCTATTTCAGTTAATGTTGCTGATTGCATTGTTCCTTAATCTTAGAATTGGATCCGGCTTATTATTTTTTGCAGACTGTTAGAGCAATTTTATAAAAAGTAAGCTTGAACTTTCGATTATGTCAAAAAAAAGTTTCCGATCCTGGAGCTGCCAAAGGATCTACAAAGCGAAAGCATGCTTCGATGTCCATCAAACAAAAAGTGGAATTGCTGCAAAAAATGGATAAAGGCATATCCTTTGTTTCTCTAACCATTCCGAAATCTGTTTATCAATTTCACGCTGCTGTCTAATCCAGAATCGCTGAAGTCTCGACGAGTCCGGATTTAAGGTTTTTACTGTATTTCAAGAAAAAAGGAATGTAATAGACAAAACTGAAATATGTTAAATTCATTTTACCATAACATCAACCCATGTTCCATAATAAAGTACTTCTTCAATAGCCGCTTCTAATTGATTTAAAATATTTTTTCCAACACAGCATGTACTTAAAAATGTCAATGGTTCCTCCTTATATTTTTTCCGAATGTAACTTTTTGCATCCTGGATACCAAGCCTTGATAAAGAATCATATTCTATAAGAAAATAAAGTATTAAAATTATTATAAAATTCTGATTAAAAATTGTAAGAAAAACACTTTTTTCTAAACAAATGAAAATGCACAAGTTAAGGAGGAAAAATCATCAATACATCTATATGCTATCTGAATATATGATACAACCAGTTGCATTTGTAATAAACCCACATAAATTATTAGTCACACAAAACAAAAGATACTAGTATACAAAAAGACCCTGTTAAACTCTGTTTCAGTGTTGTCCTATAGTAGAGGCTTCCTAAAATTGGCAGTATCTGTATTGCTGGATTAGTTTAGATTTTAAAGCTGTGAAAGGTCAGTCAACACTTCTACTAGGAGGTAATGCTAATGAAGACTTTAAATTAAAACCATAGCTTGTTTATGATTTCAAAAACCCACAGCATTAAAGGTAATTTCAAAACCATCTTTTCCAATAATTTGGGAGTCCAATAAAAAAAATCTTGAACGACTATAAAAGTTTTCAAGAATTAGTTTACCGAGCATTTTTGCCTATCTGTTAAATGGCAACATACATTCCAGTAGAAATTTTTTTTAACATCTTCCTTAATCCAACTAATGGAACAAATTTTAAAACTGATGCAGATGATAAATAATCTGTTAGTGATTTTACGAAAAACTACAATGCTATGGATGCTGAAGATAACATCCCTCTTTCTTGGAATGAGGTGATCAAGAAATGTTTGAAAGGAATATGGAAGAACGTACAGTTCGAATTCCACATGACTTTCTTGTACGGCCTAGTAAATTATACCCATTTTTTATGCAATTTCACTTAAACGTATTTCCTAGAATTTCATTAGATGTATATTTCTCATTCAATAAATCAGTTCACACAATCAATGAATATCTGCCATGCAAGAAAACACTTCAATCTATGGGACAAACCTGTACCCTTTCCAAGATATTAAGCTTCAAAAAGTTTTTCATCAATTTTTCACCAGTCTTTTCGTTTACCACTCAAAAATGTGGATCCTTGACACTATCATTTGTATTTTCTATATTGTTCACTTTGAAAACAATTTCCTGTTCACACATATCAAAATTCACCTTTAACATACTGGTAATTTTAGCCATTTGAACGGGTTGACTGCATGGGTGTTTTCTATGATTTTCCCTATGGGTAATGTAAATACAATCAGTTTTGTTTAGAAAGATGAATGAAGGATCCCAGTTCTAGTAAAAGCAAAGTAAAAGAAGTTGAATATGAAATAAACTTAATGAAGTGATATAATTAAATCAACTACATAAAAAACAAAAAAAAAAAAAAAAAAAAAAAACTTTGCATTATCACTAAGCATTTATAATGCTGACACTAAAACAGAAAATAATTTTTAAAAATTGGAAATGCATAAAAGCTAAAATCAATACATTAAACAGCTTAATTTGTAATTACTGAAGAAAAAGGCTCCACAATATTTGGAAAGGCAAAAAATCTTACAATTTAATGAATAAATTTGTAAATTTTATGAAAGTTTGATAATCTAGGATTAACTAAAGGTGTGGAGGAGGAGCTTAGTGGCAATATCTTTTTAAAAAACTGCATACTCTTGAATGCATATATTAATTTTCAGTGAAGATAGTAATTTTTACCTTTATACAAAAAAGTTTAGTTAAAGCAAATATTGCATAATTGGCAAAAACGTTATTCAACACAATTTTGTAACAGTATTTCAAAGGTTAAATGTTTCAAAGAGTAATAGATCAAAATAGCAATTACAATTATACGGAATTTAATAACAAAGCCGAAAATAGTACCTAAATAACCATTTTGATCATAAAAAGCATCAATCCAATCATTTTGAGATTTTGCATAAATATCAGGTATAAAAATAGCTCTCTCAGATTTTCCACCTGAAATGCTAGCAGCAAGTCTTCCTTCTTTAATCAACTCTTCAGCAACACCTAAAATTATTTTGTTCCAATTAAATTTTACAAAATTATACATTTGACACACACAACAGGCAATTTCCATAAAAGATGATGTTCAAGAATTATTTAATTTCTAGATTTAAGCATTGTAAAAAGATAAAAACATTTTAAATACAAATTCAAAAAGATGTTAAACTGAATTAGGTGAATATGTAATGGCATATTTATTAGCTTACAACAACAAAAAAAAATTCTTGTGAGCCAATAAAAATATCATAGTGATTCATTTAATTTAATTTAAAAGTCACACTACACATCATTAGGATATAGGATAATATGTATATTTTCAGTAAAATTTCTCCAGTGATTTGGCAAATACATAGCTTACAAATACAAACATAAATGTAATTGTATAATACAACAACCACAAACCAACATTAATAAACATTTCACATTATTAATACTTTAATTAAAAATATTTTTCTCAGAAAATTGAGGAAAACTTACGATGGAAGAGTTTTTCTGGAAACTTGAAGTAATTGATTAGATTAGAAATGGGTACAGGCCTAAAAATAGAAAATAATTTTAATTATGAAATAATTAAACACAAATATAATTTCTTATTATTACACTCCAACCACCCCCAATTTTTTTAAAAATTAAATTACCTAGTCAAAGCAGACAAAGCACCCCTTATCCTAGCTGTATGTTGAGCAACATATGCATCAGTGAAAATAGTTCTGGAATCACTACTATCAGCATGACCTTGGATTATTGTTCCAAGTCTTTCATGTATAGCCTATAACCAGAAAATTAATTGCTATTTTGCAGTAATTTTTAACAACAAAACAGAAAATAATAATAAAAAAAATTCTATGAAATGTTAAAAAAATACTTTCCAATTTATACTGGTAATTTAATTTGATATTTAGTATAAAAATATACAGTATACATACCATATTTACTTGCATAACAGTCACACTTTTTTTTGCCAATTTTTCGTGGTCTTGGTGCAGGGAAATCTAGTACACACTAACATACACTTTTGGCGAATTTTTCCACTTCAAAACGGGGATGTGAGTATTATGCGAGGGTGACGACTACCCAAGTAAACACAGTATATATATATATATATATCTGATATTTTCCAGCAGTCGTGAGGAAGCTTGGCATCAAAGTGCAGGCATTGCTTTTACAGAGTGGTAAGGCAAAATCCAAATGATGAGAAAAGATAATTTAGCTTTAAAGTGCACATCTTTATTCCATAGCTTTAATTCAATTTTCACCGTTGATCATGCTTTACTTCACATGAAATTTTCCAAACTACACATTCAATAGCGATTTAAACTAAGTATGATTGAATTTAAACTTTCTGTGTCATAATTAATTCTAAAAAAAGGAAAGATAGATTAAGCAGCAGTGAGATGTATAGCACAGGAGGAGAGGCAAGCTTCTGTCCGCAAAATGGTGCGCATTCGTTATTTATAGTAGCGGTTACATAATAGGCTAGAATGTTCTCAAAGGTACTGGTCTGGGGGGGGGAGATTTTAAATTGCGGAAAATTAATTGGAGGTTGTGTATTCGTGTAGAGCAAAGCCGTTGTATTTTTTTTATATTTTACATATTTATATATATATAAACACACACACACACACACAAAATTAAAATAAAAATAAAGCAAAATATAAAATCATTTCAAGCATTTTCATGCATTCTTCCACTTAAAATTTATCAGTAAATACATAAAGAAATTTAGAGCACAAAAACCAAAAACTGAAATTTAAATAAATTAAAAAAAAAAACACCTGTAAATGCAGAATTAGAATTCTGAAAATGTTGAAAGAAAAATTAAAATAAACCATTATAAGAAAAAACAAAAATAAATAATGTAAAAAAAAAATAACATGAAAAAAGATCAATCCAATAAATTCCAACATAATGTCTTCAAGGAGGAGGGTATGTCGAAATTTATTCAGAACTCCTCTTCCAAAAGAAAATCCTTGCTTTTTTATATCCAGAATTAGCTGATGAACCTTTTCCAATATATTTTTTTAATCTTAACAGTTCACCCGAAAACTCTGGTCCTCTTCAAAGCAAGGAAAAATGGCAAAAATACAAAGTAAAATCATTCATGAAGATTTTCCCTATTAAAAATAAACATACATAGAATAATAATAAAAAAATTAAAAAAAACCTTCTACAAAGTTAACAAATTAACAAAGTTAACAAATTCTTGAAACTGAAAATAAACTGCAATGTAGTTCCCCAAAAATTATGTAGTTTACTTGCATCCATTTTATCTATGGCATTGCAAATGGAGAAGCTACCCAAAGGAGGTGCAGAGAAAGTTTCCCAAGCATTTCGTCTGAGCAGGTGCTCCATTTTAATCTGCAACCTCAGAAATAAAATGCATATTGGTGAGCTTAGTGTTCCCACAGTGATGCATACCACATGAAATCTGCATGAGGGATAACAATTTATGCCAGCACAAGACTTTAAGCTACCACGCAATAGCACCCTGTACCACACCTCAATGTGCCATTTCGGCACACATGTTCTGTTACAAAATCTGTTTACTTCAGCCATCTCTACCTGTCTTTAAATTTTTTGCCACATACTGTTGAATCCCCTTGCATAAATATGTGAGGTAAAAATATGAAAGGCAAAATTCTAACTTGAATTTGCAATAATCCCTTAACTTTCCATTTTATTTTGGCTAGATCCCCTTTCTGTTTTAAAAATAAGTGCTTATAATAAATTTATAAACTGGGTCATTTTCTAATTTATACAAGTTATATGATTCTTACATAACAAATAATGACACAGGATCTTATATACATGTTTCAACCAATAATGATTTTAAATCCCTTTGGATTTGAGAATCGAAACTTTTAGCAGTCAACAAAAGAATTAAGGACTAAAATTCGAATTCCATACAATCAACTTTCATCATAGACACATCACATTCCTGCTCCTGTTTGCTGTCCTGCAAACATTTATTCACTTAACTCTCTCTTTCACCAATCGCAGTTTCATTAGATGCTGAATACACAAAAATATAATCAAGAATGTGTCTGAAGATTGCTCCTATCAGTGGCATAGCTAGGGTGGGGCAAGGGGGACATCTGTCCCTGGGCGCAGCATCCAAGGGGCGCCAAATTGATGCTACGAAATTTTTAATGAAATGTTTTCCAATCTTGGCACACAGAAAAAGGTGCAAATTCTTTAGTTGTCTCTGGACGCTGGAAACTCTAGCTACGCCCCTGGCTCCCATTAAGCATGGTTCATTTAGTGTATTATTATGTATAATTCATATTAAGACTTTGCTTCTCAAGGATAAAATAAAATGTATTAAAATCATCATGACTGCTAACATCTTTTAGACACCAAGCATTATCTCTCTATAAGTCACCTTCTCTGCTGCAACATCAGCCTCCACAACATATACATATATATATAATTACAACACAATTCTTTTGAAAACAAAATTTAAACATGCCTAGTATTTTTAAACATTAAGCTGCAGAATTATCATTAAAGACATAAAGTAAGAAATTTAGAACTAATTTTTCACAAAGATCAAAAATTGAAATTTCAATAAAAAAATTAGTCTAAATTTCTTACTTATGTCTTTAATTATATATATAATATATATATATACTATATATAATATATATACTCTATATAAATATATATATTTGATTTAGAAATAAAAACAACATGTATTTCACTATTTAACTATTGTGATTTTATATGGCACAGTTTATTATTATTATTATAAATTTTTTTTCAATTCAGCAAATTTTACGACTTTAACAGAAGTAATTTGTATATACAATAAATTAAATGAGAGAGACAATCTTTCTTTCACAATTTTATTTTAACAAACAACAGAAGATTAAGAAAAATTTCATAATAATAAGTCCATACCTCTTCTAGGAAGTCACCGGGTAAATCATATAGCTTTGTTATTTCTGTAATAGATATTTCTCCAATCTGGTGTAATTTTTCATTTACCTCTTCGGCAATATGATCCAAATATTCACTACATGGGAAAAAAATATTAAATTAATGATGTAATATATATATATATATATATATATATATTAATTTTGGTTAAAATGAAATAATTACTTTGTAATAAGTTGTCCCAAAATAAGTCGAACTTCAGGTTCATTTTTAGCATAATCACTGGCTTTCGCTTCTACATGGTTATAATCAACTCCTATGATTTGAGCAAGGTCAACCAAATTTACTCGGCCTACAAGAATTTAATTATTATGTTTGAAAAATATCAAAATATATATATAAATTTCATGCAAATAAAAGCATATAATTGTCATACAGCATAATGCATACACAATAAAAAGAGATAAAAATTGCTGTGGTTTTTTTAGACAAATTATTTAGTACAGTAAGTTATTCAAAAAAATTTTGCATTTGATGCTGTGACATATTCAAAAATTCAAATCTCATTTCCATAAAATTTATTACTTCTCTTAAATACAGTGAAACCTCCTACGATGACCGTCAGTAGTTTCATATAACTTTGATCTTCTGGAAAGATGGTTGCCTTTTGGAAGTAATAATCAATACTGACGTTCATTTATGTTTCTGAAATACTAATTACCCATAGAAGGTGAATGTCATGAGAAGTTTCAGTGCATTTTGGAAAGGAAAGTTGCACTGCTACCCTTGTTTGGAAATTCCCAATTTATTTAATAGACATTTACTCCCCTTAAATAACTCACACACTGATAAGTAAATTATGGTCAAGTTGCAAAAAATAACATGACATTGTATATAAGAAAAAAAAAATAATAAAAAAAAAAAATAAATAAAAAGCTGCATGTTTTAATACTATCACTTAAACAGAAATTACCACACAAAGTTCAATGTCAGCACAAACTTCAAATATTTTTCCAAAGGAGGATATATCAATAAGCAAAAGTCAACAAATAGGCAACCTGAAATGAAATGTACAAAAAAGAGTAAGATTTTAAGAAACTGACCAGTAGTTTGAGCATGAGAAGCTAACAGGATGGCAGATACAGCCACATAATGAAACACAATGATTGCCCACCAAGGGCTAACACAGATAAGCTATAAAGATGGGCACATATTTCAACTGTCTTGGGGTCATGCAATGAAGAGTGACATGGTAAAAGAGGAGCAAACAAATACAAAATGCATGGCCATGCAATAACTACATAAAACAGGTCTGTTTGCTTAATGATAAATATGATGGGTCATATTAACACCTGCTCACAGAAGATATTTTCAGTAGTTTATAGAACATAAAAGAGGATAAGAATAGGGGGATGAAATTGTTTATTGAAGACAAAAATCTAGTTTCATTAAATTAGCAGGAGGGAAAAAATAGCAAGCGGCAGGGCCATTCCTAGGAAATTGGCCACCCACGTGCTTTCCTAAGATTGCCACCCCCAAATTAAAAAAATATACTCAATGATTAATAAAATTTTTATTTCATACTTACTAAGTACTTACATATGACAAATTGTATAAAAAGTACTTACATATGATAAGTACTTACAAAGAACTGAATGAATTTCAAATATTTAGGTGTGGTATCGGGACAGTCCGGCCATCCCTGATTTTCACTGACCACATACGTTTATGTGCTGCACTCCTGCTAGGAACGCCCCTGGCAAGGCAGACTGTATCATAAATATATTGAAAGCTAATGATATATAAATGGCACTGTTCTTCCCTGAAATGGCCTTATGGTTTATAGAATACAAATAATAATAATAATAATAATAAAGAAAATAAAGAGAGAGAGAGAAAAGAGGACATTATAATGCAATTACAATTAATACAGAAATGAGATTAAATTTCCCAAAGTTGAACTATCCTAATACTGTAAGCTCATCAGTTTTATGTTCGTGGAAAATAATGGCCCACCCTACTAAACTGTAAATGCTGAACAAGATGGAAGGAGAATTAAATGCTCAGAAGAAAAGAACTGTACTTAGAATTTATAATAGTGATGCCTTGCTTAACAAAACAGAAGCAGTATAAAATGCTTAGATAAGAAGAATCTTTCATCAAAGAGTGTTTTTACAAGCAATTTACAAATTTAAAAGCTTTTTGAATTGTGGTAAAAGTAACAAAATCTGTACTATAATGTTTTAACTTATGAACTTCAGAATCTTTATTTACATTACCATTCTCTGAACAGATATAGTCTGTTTTAGACATTATTTTAGCCAAATCTGTACATTCAATTACAGTATCAAGTCAATGTTCTACTACTCAGACTAAATCTTAATAATCAAAATTAATTTTGGCAATACATTGCTCCATTCTTTCATGCGATATTCAGGCTACCAATTAACTGTAAGTTATTATCACTAATTAATTGTAATTAAGATGTTTCCTTTAGCATGACATTCTTATCAGGATTTGATTAGGAAGTAAGTTTTAAAAAGAGAAAATATAAATACTGGACAAGTTAATAAACAGACATGGGAATGATCTAATGACACAGGAATCAACTATGAGCTTAGCCAGAATACAGGACTTCATAAATAATATTTCAATAGTGCTATTATACACTTACAGGGTTTAAACCTGCCAGTTATGTTTATCAAAATTAACTGTGAAATAGATATCCTGTATAGTTTAAGAACATGAAAATGATGTGCTGAAAACAAGAATAACCCTTTTAAAACTCCTATGCACCCATAAGAGGACCTGGGAAAAACTTGAGATGCTATATATATCGACTATGGCAGAAGAAACTGGGGTAAACAAAAAATGAGGAAGGCATGAACAAACAACACTCGTGATGCTGCTAACGCAGATAACAGTTTATATTTGAAAATAGATGTTTTATTATTTCTGCAATAAAATGCAATAGCACTTAAATAACTTGTTAAAAAAATTTAGCAAAAAGTGTGGTTTAATTCATATTCATTTACAATATATTCCCCTGTGTTAATTAATTATGGGTTTGTGGGTTTTTTTCTGGTGCATAATGTGAAAGGCTATCATACCCACCAACACATGGTTAAATTATGTCTCCTTGTTCAAAATTGGGTAAATTCTAAATAGCAACTAAAGTCATACATCGAAGACAATTACTGCTATGATACAGATGGACCAGAACAAAATTACAATGTGAACTAAGGAAATACAGTAATGAACTCTGCTTCATGCCATGATGAAGACATAAATGAAATTTACATGATGATTTCAGATATAATATAAGGTAAAATCCCAATATGTAAAAAACACATAAAATACATTCCTTATCCATAAAAATATTTAAAATATATTAACACTCTGGCTGCTTATCCCGCGATTTCCACGGGCAACTCAAATGTAGCAAAATCTGCTCATCCCACGATTTCCGCGAGCATGTGTTTTTTTTCCTTTATTGATGAGCGCATTCCGCTTTTTCCCCATTTGACCACTGAAATAAATTATATACAGTATTAGACGTTTAGTTTACATTTTGGACAACAAATATCGTTAGTTGTCCGCTAAATTGGGATGTTTGAAGGCACGTGGTATTACCGCTCAAACACGACATTTTGCCGCTTTTTTCTTACAGAAATGGCCACTCGAAAACATTCAGCGATTATCTTGATTATTTAATTAAATTATTGAATTATTAATTAGATTTTTGATTAGATTAATAATTAAATTGATTATTAATTAGATTTATTGAATCTCGTGCAAAAACTGTGAAGTTGGACTTTGCCTTGAACCCTGTTTTGAACTCTATCATACTAAACTGCATTTTTAATGTATTTTTCCTCAGTGGTTTATATTTTCTTAAATTTTATAATTCTACCTTTTATATTATGCAATAAATAGAAATTAACTGTAATTCGACTGAAATTTACTTAAAAAAAATTTTTTTTGGTGATAACGTTTAAAAATTGGTATTTCTGGCAACTTAGTTTCTCATGATAAAAATCTATATAAAAAATATTTTCTAGAAAGAAAAATGCATTTTTCAATTCTCCAATATATATAGATTTAAAATTTGAAAAAAAAAAAAAAAAAAAAATTACACAATTTTTGAAGCTATTTCGGTCCACAAATAGAGCAGTCAGAGGGTTAAACTACTTTAAAAACCACTTCAGATCAAGAAATAATACCCAGTTTATTTTAGATACTGAAAAATATTAATATCAGTATCGTGATTGATTAAAAGGTCAATAGATATCTGATATTGATTAAAACGCTTCACATAAAATAGGTTAAAACTAAAATATTCCACTAAAATAAGTCACACTGACAGAAAAGCATCACAACTTGAGCAAATAGATTCACTTTTCAATAAATAATTATAAGTAATTAGATAGTGAAAACAATTTCTCATTCTTAGCCACTTTCCAGTATACCACTCTATGCTTTACAGTTCTCAGTTTGTTATTTAGCTAATCACCCCAGAGTAATTGCCACACATTTAGGATTTTGAGTTTTATGATGGTGCTGACATTTCTAAAAGGACTGAATCTACTGGCTAGTTCAACAGCAGACTTTACCAGTTCATTACATTTTTATTCCTGTATGTCTGGGAACTCAGCAATAAAGAAATTCATACCCATGGTTCCTTAAGTTTATATTTAGTCTTCAGGAGGAGTAGTAGTCTAATTTCAGAACTAAAAAATTCCATACATCAATAAATTCTCCTAAAGTTTCTAGATTACTGCATGAGTATAAATTAAGAACTTCGTCTAGCATAACTTAGAAATGAATGGCAGTATAAAGCAATGATATGCTCATTACATAATGTTTCCCAAAGTACTTTTCTGAAATGGACAAAAGATTTAATTCAGAGATAATGCCTCGACAGAAGTTCAAAGTCTTGCATGCTGAGACAGAGACATTTACTTGTCCTACTTTTGTAAGCACAATAAGCAGATATTGTCAATAAGATGGTTTTTCTATAAGGATGCCCCAGATTATAAACATTTCATATTTTTAGTTAAGCAGTTAAAAATGGAGATATGTTTTGCAGTTCACCAGAACAAGTGCTAATAACTATAAAGTGAGGAATGTGAGCTACTTTAAATAACATTACCGTTTTATTTGCGCAAGTCCTCAGTTTTTTTTTTTGTCCCAGATGTGATATCAGGTTTATCCACTTCAAAGGAAAATAAAGATTCAAACCTGGTGACCCTAACCATCCCTGGAGTTTAACAAGAGGATCATATTCTTGCACCAGGGCTAACTAGGTCTATGTGCAGTATGAAGCACACAATCAGCTTTGCTGAAAGCAGA